ATACAACAATTCGTAAAGCTTTGCCTAGTATTCACAATAACGGACACAATACAATCACACTTGTTACGTGCAATATTCACAGCAACGTGTTATTGCGAAATGCAGACAGACGACTGACGCAAATCACAGTGGTTAGAACTGTAAGGCCGGGTTCACACTTGACCAATCTCCATTCGGACCGGTCTTGGCCTGGTATAGCATTTACGAGAAATGTTGGTTAAACCAGAAATAAAAAGACAGATGTTAAAGACAGTTATTTATGTGATATCGGGTCGGCAAACAAGCTGACGAATTACCTGATGGTAAGCAATCGAAACACCAGAAATTACTAGTGCGTTGCCTGCCTATTGGAGGTTAGAGTTTCAGAGATTTAGGGATTGGGGAGGGAATGGAGTGGGAAAGAATAAGGCTTTCGGTAAAATCGCTCACATTGCTGTTGTTTCATGCTTTTCTGTAAGGTCATGGTATCATTCTGGTTGAAATGGACGTGCCCTTGTACACTTAAAATTCATTGAAATTTTAGAGATCGCGTTCAAACAACGAAATAAACATACTGACTGTTCAGCTTTACACGTTATATTCAGCAGACCAAGACCAAACCTAGGATGAATTGCGATAGGCATTATAAAGTGGTCGGGCCCTAATAATCGCCCCGTTCCCTATGAGGCTGGTGTTGCGTATAATGCGTGAATACTCCACATGACGCCTTCAATGGTTCATCGAGTTTGCGTCAATAAAATATTATTATAACATCCGAGGGGTGAGTACTTCAAAATAGGTATAAAAGGGATGCGATGTTATAACACCGTTCAAAGTCTTTAAATGATTGGGCCGTATTTGTGTCAACATGTTTATCTTAGTATTTTTGTAATTTTACTGCTTTTTTTAGGATCTAGTCCTCGTATAAATCTTCTGCTGTGTATAGATGGTGATACGCTAGCGGAGGATTAGCCCTCAACTGTAATCTGTCGGCAGTGAATGACTTAATTGCTCCATGATGGATGATGGGTGACGAATGAGACTATAAGTTTGATATGATCTCCTCCTTAAGCAGACAGGTTAGCGAAATAAGTTTAAAAAACCACGTTTATTATAGAGCGCTTCTACCCGATCTCAGTTTATTATTTTTATTGTATCAAAACAATTATTTTGTCATTTAAGAATGCTTGTCGTTTGGTCCACAGATAATAGTCATTCATTTTTACAAAATTAGAATCTCCCTTTATTCTGTCTGTGGACCATAGATTAGAACACCTAGTATTTTAAGTTTTTGTTTTGTTTTTCTTTTTTTGTCATGTAATAATTACCTTTCGCTTCCTATATTATTGTTTTTGTTGTAGTTTTAAGTTCATGTGTGCTCTTCGCAGAAATAAGGATTTTTCTCTCTTTTCTTTCTTTCTTTCTTTCTCAGTCAAATGTGAAGATTCTTAGTCTCTTTAGGAACCCATGCGAATAATAGTAGTGACTTAAGTACTTTGCTCAATTGGGCATTTACATGTATTTATCATCACCGTAAATGATGATGTAAGTATGTACATATGTAACGCTAGTCCCGCAACCCCGGCTGTATCAATAACGGCTTCATTACAATTATTTAACAAGCTCACAGTATATAAATTACTAAATTCACTATTATGTAACCATATAATAACATAGTGTTAGTTTGTATGTAATAATTTCTCTAATACATAGGTAAATGGGGAAACAAAGCTAATATTTCAGAATATAATGCTCACCTCATATTTGAGGTTTCAAAATTAATTGGGACGCTACAAACATAAACCATTTTGATGGAATTGGTTCACTATCACTATACAAGCCGCTACTGTTTGCCGTAGTCATCTTGTTGTATGTAAACAGGCTTTATTGAGATGTTTGTTTGTAACTAAGTTCAAGAATGATGACTGCACGGTTGGTGCGGTGGCTGGGCAACTAGCTGCCGTGCAACGTGTCGCGGGTTCGATTCCCGCATGGAACAACACTTTGTGTGATCCTCAAATTGTTGTTTCGGGTCTGGGTGTCATGTGTATGTGACATTGTATGTTTGTAAACGCACCCACAACACAGAAAAAAATCCTAAAATGGGCCAACGTTTCTTAAGAATAAGAAACACACTTTTAAAAGATTTTTATATGGTTTTGTTCGGCAAACGAGCTGACGGATCACTTGATGGGTAGCAATTGTTGTCGCCCTTGGATACTCTTAATACAACAGGAGACGCAAGTTCAGTGCCGGACTTTTGTGGGTTTATAGGGATTTAAAGGTTTGGGGATTGAGGATTAGTAGGCAAAGGAATAGGCCTCCGGTAACCTCACTCCCATGACATAAAATAGCGCAAGTGTGGTTTCATGGTGGTTTCTATGGTAGCACTCTTTAAGTGTGGGAGAGCCATGCTTCGGCACGAATGGGTCGGCTCGACCGGAGTGATACCACGGCCTCACAGAAAAACTATAAATGTACCTGAAACTGATGAAGCATTTAAGTCATTGACTGCCGACAGATTACAGTTGAGGGCTAATCCTCCACTGGCGTGGTCCACATTTTTTCCCCAATGGCGTTCAACGTGTTAAATACCAAATTTTATCTACTAGAATCTAGTACGAAGTTTCTTCACGATAATGCTATCGGTTTATTACCGCGTTTAGGCCTCAGATTGGTCGGTTTACTTCGAGCCAAGGAGACAACACGAAAAAACGACCACTTAAGTATCGAACATTTTAATGAACAAGTCGAAGTGTATAGGTATCAAACTCTTTGTTGTCTGGGGGTACAATTGCTGCTCGTTCGATTTCCGTTTAAATGGTTAATTTTAGATATTTTAATTTCACCTTTTGATTATAATGCATGCCGTCGCAGAAGAACAATAGTAACAACGATGGTAGCGAACGCCGGCGTTTGCTTGAGGTTTGATGGATTACTTAAGTTTAATTACACTGCTATTAAATATTTAGCATGTATAATCGTGCAAGCTTTGTTGGTTGTCCTTAAATAAATCGAAGTATACTAATATTATAAAGACATAAAATTTGTAAGTTTGTATGTAGGGGGTAATCTTTGGAATCGCTGGTCGGATTGCCAAAATTCACTCACTGATAGATAGCTCCAATGTTCCTGAGTTGCTGAATGGCTATAAAACATCACGCTACTATTAAATGGAGCCGAGCATCAGGTGAAACCGCGCGAGAGTAGCTAGTATATAATATTTTCGAGAAGATTGCCCTTTTTATTTGGAAAAACTAATTACGATTACCCGATACGATACAAGTAACGGTGGGTATGCAACGTGTTCTAAACCTTGATGTCAATATGATGGCTTTATAATTAAAATGGGTGCTGCTGCGTCGCAGGCGGGTGACACGTATAGCTGGTGTAACCCAATTTTAAGCTTTTTCGAATGAACGACGCGACGGGACGTCGACGAGTTTAATAGCAATGCACGTGAAAATGGGTCTCTCATATTTTAACAGATTTACGTTGCATTTTTGTGGACGGCGTTCATCATCATAAACCACGATACGTCCACTTTACTCTGAAGACTACTTAAAGTCTCGTTCTCTTTTGAGAGAGGGCTTGCTATAATCCCCAAACTCGGCAGTCCTAATATTTTGTCATATAAATACAATAATATTATTAATAATTAAGTGTGGGAGAGCCATGCTTCGGCACGAATCAGTCGGCTCGACCGGAGTGGTACCACGGCCTCACAGAAAACCGGCGTGAAACAAACCACAGCGTTGTGTTTCGCCGTGTGAATGAGTTTACCGGAGGCCCAATCCTTCCTCTCTCTCCCAATACCTAAATCTCCAAATCCCTAATCCCTAAAGGTCGGCAACGCACTCGTAACTCCTCCGTTGCGGGTGTCCATGGGCGGCGCTGATTGCTTACCATCAGTAATCCGTCTGTTCGTTTGCCGACTTATTACATAAAAAAAATTGTTAAGGGATGCGTCCTTTATATTTAGTTATGGGATAGGTCGGTAATCGAGCAGACAGATCACTTGATGGTGCGCAATCAGTGCCGCCCATGGATACCCGCAACACCGAGGAGTTACAAAACCATTGCTGGTCTTTTCGGGGTTGGGTTTTTGAGGATTAGAGGATTGGGCTAGAGGAGGAATTGGGCTTCCGTTAAACTCAATCACACCGTTAAACACAACGCAAACGTTGTTTCACGCCTGTTTTCTATAAGGCCGTGATATTACCCGGTCAAAGCCAGCTCGTGCCGAAGTATGACCACAATAGAGTTGGGGTGGCGGAATAAATACAAGCAATACTTTTTTCTGACCCAGAAATATAACACTTCTATAATAATGTATTGTAACCGGCTTTCATTTATCCAGAGTTCAATAGGATTTACGTTTTCTTGCAGAGAACGATCAATATATTGTATCCAGTACCGGACCGAGGCCAAGTTTAGAATGGAACATATGCTACAATATGGCGGACCTTATTTAAATAATTTCTTTATTATTCCGCATTTTTATACAAAGGCGATCCGTTCCTCTTTTTGGTGTTGCATGTTGCTTTGTTCTCATTAAGGAAGCATATTTTTTGGTAAACTTACTGTAGATTTTCTGAATTTAAATACTTAAGTGATCTCCAAAATTACGTACCTAGTATTCATAATTTCACACTTTCTAGTTAATAATCCCAAAAAAAGAAAAACTTGTTGCTACCGCATTTTTTATAGATTAGTCCAAGCTTGTTTGTGATGAACTAATTTCTACTTAGAGCGTAAGGCGCGTAGAGTTCTGCGCGCACCTCAAAGAGCCAATAGACGACCACAGATAGGGATGTTCAGTCGAGGTTGCGGGACAAGCGCAATGAGGCACCGCGGCCTCGGCCCAGAGCAACAGAAGGAACGGGGGGGTTTTTAGTCAGTAAAAGTCTGATACTCCCTTCTGCCCCACCGTGGGCGGGAGAAGTCATTTGATGACTTTCCCCTCACAAAAAAGGCCGAAACCGCGGTGTATTAAAGCTTGTGCTTGAAAGTTGCCATACCCGGTAGGTGGTAGCGTTGCCAGCGTCTGTATGTGGCAGGGACAGCAGCGCGAAGGGCAGCAGCAGCGCACTGGACATGCGCCGCGGCCCCCCCATCACTGCCCACCATTCGCGCGCGCACGCGCCTTCCTGGAACAAAAGAGTGAATATTCTTTTCACATTTTGCTAGAAATACAGTCGTTTCCAAATAGTCAAATTCAATACATTTAACCAAATGTCCAAAACGATACATTTCAACTGAAATTTGTATGAACCGCTGAGTTATGACATTATAGTATTTTAGCGTCAAATAGCTTACTTATTTCTTAAAAAATAGTAACTATATAGTTATTTTTCAATATTTTAGTATTGAAAAGTCGAATTAATTTATTTTTAACCTAGGAAACTGCTCAATTAATACCTAAGTCTCATGAACTGGGGTGATTTTCAAAAGTCGAACAAGCTCACATGTTATTTTTTGTCCTCGCTTAGACACCTGTGTAATCCGGTGAAGGGAGTCATCGTGTCGAAACCTGGGCTTGTAATTTAGTTTAGCAACCATGGTGATTAATGCCTCATCAAGCGCTTTACCTGATGGTAAACAATCGGCGCAGCCCACACGCAACGCCATAGAAGTTGCCAGAGCGATTTCAGCCTATTGGGGATTTATAGATTGGAGAGGAGAAGGGGGAGGGAAGGATGAAGCTACTCGCAATCTCTCTAACAGACAACAAAGAAAGAAAGAAAACATTTATTTCTGCGCAAGCGCACACTCATAGAAATCAAAAATACAAAAAAAGAAGAAAAAAATTCTACCAATTATCTAAACTAAATGATACAATAATTTAACTGTTAACTTAAATAAAATTATTAACAAAAAGCACAAAAAATAAAGAGTAAATAGTAAACTTTTATCTATCTATGGTCCACAGAGTATGACATTAAGCGCGAGGTCGCGTGTAACTTATGTGTAACCATGGCTTAAAGGACTTGTATCCAGGCCATAAACTCCAAAAAAATCCATTAATCGAATAGGAATGTTAAAAATTAAGTACGTCTATAGTATTTATTATATTTAACACAAAATAGATATTATTGGACACAAAACAGCTAAACGAAGTTCAAGGCAACAGCAAACTTCAGCGGGCTGTCACTAAAGTGAAATGGAGCTCTCGTAATAAAACTGAGCCTTCTATTTGGGGAACAACACCCACGTAAATGGTCGAAGAATAGGATATTCTCATGTGTGATTGGCAGTTTTGCTGGGAGAATATAATAAAGACGTGTACAGGGGAATTATTGAGCTGTCTTCGTCCCTCTTTGTTTGGTTTAAACGGTGCTTATTCTTAATTGTACAGAAGTTCAGAAGTATAGAATCGTTAGAGTAACATCGCCCTTGACGACTTCATGCAGCAACGCTTTTGGTAAACGCGCAACAACACGCTACAAAAATGGCGATGACATACATCTAGCGGCCGCTTTCCAACTGTATCAATGCGAGCGTGACAGCGACAGCATCGCGCAAAATTTCCGCGAGCAGGCGGCCTAAAGTTCACTTCTGCATAACTTGAAGATAGATATAGATAGATTAAAGAAAATTTGCTACAAGAGCCATCAGCCAAATAATAAGCAGAAAAAAATATTGGACCGTGTCCATTTGGGAAACACCTTCGTCAAGCGGAAGGTGAGGCCACCGTGGCATCTGTTTAGTCAACCCTCAAAGGTTGTGAGCGCAATAATGTATCCTGGTTTGATTGATTTTAAGTCAGTGAGCATTTGAGACTCCCTCTCGCCATGCAAGAGAAGTCTCTTTCTGATATTCAACCCAAAAAAAAGAGAAAAAGCATTCGTACTTAAGTACGTAGCAATAGCACCCAATGTAGGTTCTATCAATTTCATTGTATAGTTTCCGAAAGCAACGTTTTCAATTCTACAATATCATTATTCTAGTTACAGTTACGCAGAGTTCTTCCAAAAGTTCTTAAGATTTAAGAACAAGCAATCGCAAAATATAAAGAAAAATATTTTACTTATTCGTGCAAACGAGATCGCGTGCGAAGTTCTTGTAAATCACAACATCGTGAAGAATTTAAAAATATTTTCTTAAATTCGTGTTATGCCACCTTAAGTTCATTGTACAGCTGATTTATAAGTTTTGTTATATCCTTTACTAGGGAGTAACATGCTTCGGCACGAATAGGTCAGCCCAACCAATCGAGTGATAGCACGGCCCCACAGAAAACCGGCGTGAAACAACCACAGAGTTGTGTTTGGCCGTGTGAATTAAGTTAACAGAGGCCCAATTGCTCCCCTTTTCCCTTCCTAATCGAGACACTTATCCCCAAAAGGCCGGCAACTCATTCATAACTCCTTTGGTGTTGCAGGTGTCAATGGGCAGCATCGTTTGCTTACCATCAGGTAATCCGCAGCCTCGTTTCCCGAACTATCTCATAAAAAATCGTCGTGATTCCACGATAATGGTTTTAGTGTATTAATCGATCGAATTTATATTTATAATATAGTTATTTTTCAATGTTTTATTATATTGAAACGTCGAATTAATTTATTTTTGACCTAGGAAACTACCCAATTAATACCTAAGCCTCATGTACTGGGGTGATTTTCAAAAGTCGAACAAGTATCAGTAATGCGGGTACCTCTAGAAGGCATTGATCACTTACAATATTAATTTACAAAAATAAACCTTATTGGTAAATGGTGTCTTGTTATTGATGAAATATCGCTTTAAAAAACGTAAAGCAGCAATGATCGTATCGTTTAACAATCAAACTATAGCCCAAGGTTGTTTGTTAAACAAACAACTATACTGCTCATCTACCTAGTTTGTTATTTCATTGTATTTATTCAGGAACATAATAAACAGAAATTTTCTATATTTTATGTCTATTTTTCTACGAAGAAGTCTTATTAAATTTGTTTTAGATTGATCCACTGCTGGTCCAATCTTGACACAACAACGATTGTTTTAACTACGAGAAAATGTAATTCAGACATTAATAAGAAAGCAAGTACGTAACTAAGAGTTATATTAAGACTACAAAAGGCGCTCTGTCGCTTCCGAACGATCACTATCAGTTAAATTATGGGTTCTGCTTAAATTGCCACTTCCACGTTATACCTAATAAAGGATTAAAAGAACAAAGATCTTTTAACTGTCTTACCAAGGGATATTTAATGATTACTTAAACTATTCATTATCATTCATAACGTACGTGGGGCGTTTTGCACGCGCCTCAAATAGCCAACAGAGCACTACATTTGTGGTCCAACAAGGCTGATGTTCAGTCGGGGTGAAGCGCAATAAGATACCGCGACCCCAGCATGGAGCAGCAGAAGGGACGAGTTGGTTTTTAGTCAGAAAGAGTCTGGCACCCCCTCTTGCCCCACCCAAGGCTAGAGGAGGTACTTGTTGCGTTTCCCTTTTTAAAAAATCATTCATTCATTGTTTTAATATTCAATTGCAAAAACAGTTGCTAAGGTTCAGTAATCATTTAATGACTCTTAGTACGGTATAATTATATAGTATATATGTATAGCTATAATATAGTATCTTTCTCAAGAAATTGATACCTACATTTTTGTTTCTTTTACATTCTTCGTATATATGTATGTATATTTATTGTTTCTTTTCCATTCACTGACTTAAGGTGAAGGAAAATCCTTACGAACGGAGGTTTATTAAAAAAAGGTCTTCTGATCGCCTCACATTCAATCCCCCAGAACAAATATTTGTCTTACGCAGACAGCTGATCAGTTCGTCTGTTTATTTGCGAGTCCATTGCAACCTTTTCAAAGGAAGCTGTTAGTTCATCAAACATTACATAAATTACAATGGACTCCTTACTAAATTATCAAGGATTAAAGCCTCTAAATGTTATAATAGTTACACACACAACTTTGTTTCCTAACTCCCAATTTGGGCCATTAAGCTGGGGTGATGTTGTATCAAATTACCCAAATCAACAAATCTTGGACCCCCTGAAATCGGATCGGATTTATCGCTCCCTAGAATATCAAATCATATTGCCTTGTAATCTGAATTGAAGGGTTTATTTTGAATATTTACTTAGTATTATGAATATAGAATGTACAAGCAGAAATTTTTAAGCGAGTTTCAAAATTTTATAACACAACGATAGTAAAATCGTCTTCAATATTGTTGTCGTCTACATGGTGTCATCTACAAGTTGTATTCTCACAGCTTGCAATAAAACAATTAGCTTACTAAGTATGTATTCGTGAAATATATGGCAAAAATATATAATGAAAAAATATAAATATATAGACTATTTCTTTGAATGCCTTTTGAGGATAAGGGTTTTGAAGATTTTGTGATTGGCGAAAGATGGTGGGAGAGAAAGGATTGGGCTGCCAGAATAAATCAGAAAGTATCACAAAAGCTAACTAAATTTAAAGTACTCTAGCCATATTCTTTTTCAACACAGATGATTTCGACTATCGATACTGCCATCTACTAAGTTAGTACACTAAGTTCACATATGTTTGTTTGCGTAAAAGTCGAGTCGTAAAAGTCGTCACCAAAATAAATTATGTCATAAAATGCACCATGTGATAACATTGTAAAAGATGCTGCGGCAAATTTAAAGAAGGGGTGTAATGGTTTCAGCTCGTACCTGGGTGGTTGGCTATCCAGGTCAGCTGTTCGCGGCCGTGTTCCCGCCTCGGGCGCTACCATCTAAAGGCAAGAGGCTCTCACATTCTCTGAGAGTATCAATTTTAAACCGCTTAGACGACGTCATCTATATCGTCGTGGAAATGGGTTGTTTTTATTCAATTGTGTTCTGTTTTATTTGTAGTTTTATTGGAATTGAGACTTGAGTATCACATACTTGTATATTAGTGGTAAGAAAAAAAATCTTCGACAATTTTCTTAGTAGGAATATATGTACATCTATACTATATTCCTGCTGAGTATCAATTTGGTACTATCTATAGGAATTCATTCTACTATAGTTGCAGCTCGCAGTTTTTGTCAAGGCATTACAACTACTAAGTACAAATTCAATATACTGTCTTTCAAAGCTAAACTAAAGATAAAACTGTCTATAATTACAATTAAGAGACCAATAAAGTAGGTCACGTCATTATCGTCAGTCCATGTAAAATCG